GGCCCGGCGACGTCCGAGCACACGACTCCAACACGCCGCTCGTATTGCTCCTTTAATGTTTGTTCCCCCTCGTGTTGTGGATGCTTAGCTATCTAAATTCCTCTCATGCCGAAGAAGAAGATTACCTCCATAAATCTCTCGAGATCTTTGTCAAAAAGCGCCTTACTCTGTGGCTGTAAAACAAGGGGGTACCTTTTGTCGTCCGATGAAAAGCGTATAAAGCGTGCTTATTTTAATCAGGTAAACAAGGGGCGTAAGATGCAACAAAGTCATCAGCAGATCTTGCGGTTTGCAAACCTGCTTGCGGAAACGATTTGGGCGAATATTAATATAAAAAGTTTCCGTATTGTCACATCACGTATGGGGGTACCGCATAATTACTTATGATAGAACGATACAAATTGAAACTGAGGGTCAAAAGGAATGACACAGTAGATTTGGCGTATAAGATCAGCTCATTTTTGGAAGTAGGCAGCAGACCTTAAAGAAGAAAAAGAAGCCATACCAAACTCTGTTTTAATACCTGACTGGCTAAATTTTAAGAGATCGAACATATATAGACAATCTGCTCAAGAATTTGACATCTGAATAAGTTTGATTTACGCAGTTGTGATTCAAAGCGTCATGGTGCAAATTGTGCTAAACCATTCGTGACCGGCTTAATGATGTCACAACAGAAGGAACAATTAAAACCAGCATTTAGGATGCGGCAAAAGCTTTACTGCAATTACCGTATAATGTCAGGCTAGTCGATAATTAGCGTGGAGCACCAGATTGAGCGTAGATTTTTAATTGCTCTGCAAGACTGAAACGATTCGTGCGCCATGAGCTCAGCTTCTTAGAATTCTATTTAGCTGCTCAAGTCGACAACAAAGCGATGAAGTGCTTAAGTTATGATTACGTTTCTTCAGCTGACTTTAATCTTACAGTGTGTGCACGGCGGTCTCTTCATACGTTAAGTACATCCCACACACTCACAGGCAAGTACACAAGGTATCGAACTACACACATTGGCGGCAAGCTGAACGAACACTTGTACAACGGAGCTACAACGCGGTATCTGTATACGTATATTTTCAGTCTTTATCATCCCGATGCGCCATCAATACCTGCTGCATGATTACCAGTGCTTGGAGGTATCTATAAATCGACAAAGCGTACAAAGAAGCATCAACCGCTGCACTTAACAGTACTGACAGTTGCCAAAAGGGATCGCGAATTACAGTTGAAGTGCATCGTGCTTAAGTCTGTATTTCACTAACCAGTTTATTTCAGTCAGTTTAATTTCATTTCATCGAGCGTCGTCATTGCAGTGAGAACGAGACTTAAACCGCAAACGGTCATGAACTTTAGTGCATCGTAAATTGTTGTTAATGTTGCTGTCGGGTAGTGACGATATTTACATATTATACACCAATCGGTAAATAACAAATAGCAGTAGGCGCGTACTGCATCATCTCTAGTGGATCATGTCACATCAAATCCTAAAATCCCATCGAGAGTCAACTCAGGCTATGGTCCATCTCCGGTAGTGATAAACTGAGATGTTTGCAATTCAAGCACGTTTATATATCTTTGCTTTCAATCTGAGTACTATTTCTTCTCGAGCACTGACAACTCGAATTAGATACGCCAGTTTGCGAATAATCGGAATACTACACCTTTTCAAAACAATATCCTAGGATGACTGAGTTACCATCTCTAACTTTGTTGGTTCGCAAGAACGCAATTAAACGTAATTCGGCTAAGGAAGAGAAGCTTGAGGCTATAAACGTGTGACAGAAAGCACAGACCGTAAAGTGGTCAACAAGTGGTATGGAACAAGGTGTGTCTGCCTTAAAACAGTATTATGTCGCAACTGGTAGTTAAAAATTAAATTCAGAGCGCTTATTTGTTGTTGTGCTTGTGATATGCAAGAGACGGGCCCGTACCGAGGTTGCCGCGCATTCGCACACAGGAAATTTCGACCCAGCGAGTACGCGCTGAGAAACACGCAGAGGTTGGCCTCGTTTTCTTCATTCGCGAACGACATCAAGAGTCATTATAATATCCGAAGATTAAGAGTGATATATGATTTTCAATATATTTTAGAAAGTTAACGCGTTGTCGTATCTCATGAATAAGTGTCATTATGAATTGGCGTCGTCTAGCGGCCCACGTGCAACCCGATCGTCGTCTATATGGAGTCACATTATCTATCTTGATACTTTGGTATTAATGTGTGATCTAAATCGCGCAATATTACAGTGTTGACTTCGTACAACTGTACAAATATGTAAGAAGCACGTACACAGTAGTACGATACTTACCCCCTTCTACTAAAGAGAGAGCCACACTGGATCTATAGCCTTTTTATCTCTGCAAGGCGTTACACAAACGTGGAAGCTCAACGAGTCATTCGGTAAACTCCAATCTTTGCATTTTTCCATACTTGTTCATCATAACACACTCGCAATAGATATCTCCTCCCACGCACTTGCTTATATGATTTACCGGGCTTCCGGAAAAGTGCAGTCCTAGCGACCAGCGCTTTCAAAACAATACATAGTAAAAAGGTACAGAGATGGTCTTCGATAGGAGCGGTTGCAGCAAATGTCTGAGTCCTAACTAAACAAACCGCCGCAACTGAGGACAAGCGGCCAAGATTCGCACCGAGAAGGATGCACTTACTGCGGCCACACTCGCACGAATAGATAACACTATGTCCAATTTTTACGGGATGTATGTAGTGTTGCGAAATAAACACATGAGAGCTCATCTTCGCCGAAGAAGTCCAGATTGCTCCCCTGCATGCACAATAGGCACGCCGATATTTCTCAAATCATATATTTGTGACTATAAACTCAAACCATCAGAAGATGCTCGCCGAGTTGAGCACAAGCCCTCACATCTATGCGTGCGGATCCTCAGCTAACAACGACAACAAATTGGCAGCCGGAAAGTCGCTCCGCAAGCAATTATCAAAACCACAGATAATCACTCCTTAAGAATACCGCGTGCGCTTTGAGCGGCAGCGATTGGGAGAAACAGAACCTTTAAAAGAATCTGTCTTGGACACTTGTGAAAGTTATCATGCGTACCATACTCAATTGAAGCACTGGGTGAAAGGAATACGCCGTTACGAGTCTTAGAAAGCTAGCCTCGGTAATGTGGGCGTCCTGTCAGAGTGTCGATGAATGCTAGAGTTTGCGAAATATGAAGCAAGCACCCACTCATTCCCATGAGAAACCTCATACAGCTACCCACCAATCCTACCCATCCTTCTTCACTTATCAAAAGTGGGCCGCGACAGGCGATGTTGCCTCTTCTACAAGGAAGATGTTCCACCGTAACACACACGGATGTCTTATATGTATTTGTCATTTTTAATACCTCTGTGCACAATCCAACGTTTTAGACAGTTGCGCGCCATGCGTAATTGCAAGACGCTTTAAAATCATTCAGAAATTTCACGACTTCACAACCTTGAAATTTGATGTTAACAAACAACAATGCTGGGCCATGAGCCCCACTTTTCTTAGAAAGCATCACCTAGTTTAGAGCTGAACTCCATTGCGCGCTACAATAATGAGGTAAAATAGAGCCCGCTTACCAAAAGCTGCTAGGTGTTTAATGTGTCTCAATTCTTCCCTGCAAAGATTCGCCGGACAACTCGGCGTGAGGAACTGAAATTTCTTACCTCTTCGCCGAGATCAGGGGGGACACTTGTGGTGCAGATTGTTTGTACTGCTACTGATAAAATGTTTGCGAGAATCGCAGGGTGGTTAAGCAGCTATCAGACCTCTCTCCTCCTCAGCATGGCTGTACCTCAGTGCATCAAGCGCGTCCATCGATTCCCGACTTCAAAGACACCGTCTGAGCCTCGCGCCACGAAAGTTTACTCCGCATTGATACCGATTCTCACCACTTCCTCACGAGAGGAAGAGTGGAGGCAAAATCTCTTTTTGCGTGCCGCACCCACACAGACACCTTCCACATAAATCGTAACTGCTATCGCTCCCAGCAGAGAGCCTGACGCCATTAGGGCTATAATCGTTTTTGACTTCTAGACATGTACTAGGAGTGTCGCCTTGATGGATGGAAACAGAAGCTTTGATGCACTCTATATGCTCGATTAGGCATTGCGAAAAACCGCAACATATTTCACTTCACATAATTGAAATCGTGCAGCGGGGCTGCCGTAGCTCTTTGGTTAGAGGAAGCCAAGCTAAGGTCACCGACCTTACGTTCTTCCCAAGAACCAGTACGAGTGTCGCGGATTGCAATTCACTACTTCCAAGTACTTAAGCCTTAACCGAGGCAACCGAACACGTCTGTTCAAAAATTTAAAATGTATTTGGTTGGTTTAATTGCGGCAGAGCCGCCAATATCTAAAGCCATAGGCTTTCCTTATTATATAGTAATGCCTAATAAATGTAGCAAAACCTGATTCATACAGTAATATGCATTACTACAGGCAATCCTGCCATGTGGTGGCTACTTGATACGGTGTAGCCACACCACTGTGTGATTACACTGACTTGTGTAATACACACTTATGTACGATCGCGCCATCTTGTGCGGCACTCCCTTTTATACAAGGATAAGTGTAACCCCGTGACACTTCCCCCATTAAAATTATATATATATATCCCAAATTCACATTTAATGGTCGCCTAATACGAGGCTCGCGTGTTGGAGACAATTTCATGTTCTTTAAGAGCAACTTTGAGCATTCTCCGCTTTATGAGCTCTGTGGCTACGTCACGCAAAACACCCAGCCTAGCTGGTAGCGGGCACAGCCCATCTTCTTCTCCTGCACAGGTATCTTCAAACATTACGTCCGCGGCTTCACGGAAAGCACATTTCAAGCCCTCGGCAACTGAGCGCAACACCGGGCTCGCCCGGAGCGACGAATTTTCTCGTCGAGGAGTTGGAGGAAGCTGACTACGAGTTGGACACTCTTTTCCCAGCATGGAATGACGAGGAATATGAAATGCGCCAACGGTGCGACGTGCGCCCAACTGAAACCATGTCTGTTTCCCGACCTCTCGACTCCCGGGAAAAGTGGTATTATTACCAATCACCTCAATGAGGCACAGGAGCAACAATTGAAGGCTGCTCACAGGGTGCTCTCCTGCGTTCGTATACACGATCGTTCTGAGACCCTCGTGTGGAATACGGCTTCCGCTCGGCGAATGCAGGTACTGAAGCGAAAGACGGGATCACTCGATCGTTAGGCGTTTACGTAGTCGGCCCCGCGGCCACTACACAAGCTGCGCCTTATCAGCGAAAAGCTTTGTGAGCTCGCGTTTTGGTCCCCCCAAGAATCCCAGTGGACCGCGCTCGACTTCGAGTTCAAAAAGAAGGTGCTCCTGTTTCGCAATGCGGACGTTCCCTGTGGTGCTCGCCCTTGGTGAAACAGCTGCAGATGAAGATGAGCTCTTTCAGCGATGGACCGGAACTTTCTTCGCTAGCTACCTTACAGCGAAACCACAAGGAAGTAGACGTGCGCGTTAAGCGCCATCTGAGATTTGACTTTTCCAACGCCAACTTCCCTCTTATTTTTGCTCTGCGACGTATGGATTAATCCTTCATTCTCCCGCGAGCTCTGTTGTTTCTCACACGGGTGAGTCTACGACCACAGCAACTCAAAGCCAAAGCTTGAGCTCAGCTTTTGGCCCTCCGGCTTCCTGGGCTACTGCCGAGAAGCGCGGTGCGCAGGACGACGTGAAGTGTCACGATTGTTCTGATTATAAGCGTCTACGACGTCTGGGCAGTCTTGCCGAAGTGACACCTCAACCTCCCACGATTTCTCGTAGTTTAGGCACCCCCGCCACTTCACAAGGTATTGGGTTAAACCCCGTCGACAACATCGACCCACACGGCGTTCTACGTGGTAGTGGACGCCTCGGTTCTAATCTAAAAGAGGCGGTGGCGAGCGATGACGATTTGGTCGATCGACGTCTGGTCTCTTCGAGCGTTGATGGAGAAAGTCCGTCATCATCGGCACTCTTCCGAGCATCTCTCCGAGGTCGCCTACCGCTGTGCGGAAGACCTCGAGAGACTGGTGCACTTTGTGCGTCGACTGTCTCGCGTTGAGAATTATCGTGCTCTGTTAGAGCAGCTCTAGCCGTCGAACTGGCGAATACGTCACTTCGTGCGACGGTGGAGCGCCTTGCGCCGTTGGAAACGAAAGTTATTGCACTCCGTGCTCAGAACAAATTGCTATTTCAACATTTTGGTGGCCGAGCGCCTTTGAACGTCGCCCCGGTGCCACCG